TATGACAAGATATTGGCAGTCACCTAGCTCTATCTTATCTTATTCCCGAAAATTTGAACGACTTGAAGACAGTTTTTTCAGATCGTAATAAAGAGTGACATGTAATGAAGGATCTAGGCAGTCAATTATGTCTTTTTACGTTAATGTTAACTGAAGTTGTCAAAAATTTAGAAAAAATTGATGACAAGCTGACATAAGAATGCAAGGAAACATTTACAGGTAATCTCATAGTATTATTGGACATAGAAAAGCTGTCACATAATCGTTGGAATCTACAAAATACAACTGAAATCTAAAAGCCAGGTTAAATCAAGTGAAACGTAATTTGGTTTAGTGTATATTCTCCTGGCTTGAACTTCATTTTTTATAGTTGGGTTTGTAAGGGTTAGTTTTGTTTTTAACGAGTTGATCACGGATTGATATCAGTTAGAGAAGCATTGAAAACCAGCACTGGAGTACTGCTAGACAGCTGTCTTATCCTAGTTTGGGAATCATCGGCAGTGCACATCCACCGCAGAGAGTTCGAACTCAGGACCTTCCGGTTACAAGGCAAGCTGGCTCGTATACCATTCAGCCACTGGGAACAGATTCCGCAATGGCCAGTCCATGAATTCTAACTTCTATCAATTTGTGATTTAGCGCGACCCCAACCAATGTCGTCGGTGGGACATCCATCTTCACACGTGACACCCGGATGGACCTCACTGGTCATGACTTCTAACTAGAACTCCAGGAAACTCCATTCTGTAACAAGTCACTAGTGAGCATCAGATTAATTTTCTATAGTTTGGTTTGTAAGAAGTTAATTTTCCGGAACAGGCGGTTATGTTTTTCTCTCAATCTTTAGCCTCCTTAATGGGAAACAGGACTTTAATTTTGAGACCTTGAAGTTCAGCCAGCAGTGGTGTTTATTTTTTTTACAGGGTGAAGTCGCTAGCCTCATTCCCCCAGCTTGCCTCCTTTCCGGATTTACTCCCCCCATGTAAGCGAGCTTCAGGACTGTGCCTACCGGCAACAAAACCTGAACTACATGCACAGATGGTGAACTTTCTAGGGGTGAAACATCAACGCGCAGACAGTGGTTATGAGCCACACAAACACACACACTTATTGTGGGAAAGCTGATAATACTATCCAGTTCAGCTGCTTAATCTGAAGTAGGCGGATTTTGAGATTCGAACCCCAAGACCCACTACTACTAGCTAAGTGTCGAGTGATTAAGCCAATATATATTATATGCCACGTGTCCTCAATTCAGAGAACAACAACAAACACTACTCATTCCTACTTTCACAGATAAAAGTCTCCTCCCCTATTATTTCACCACAATCAGATGGCGATTCACTTGCTAAGCCCTGAACTCTGCATACAGAAGAAGTTCGTTCAATCACTACACTTGCAATAGACGTAATCTATCTTATTACCCGACAAGTAAATTCTACATAATCTCTTTTTTTTCTGTCTCTTCATTAGTATTATTTTGTCTTCTCAATTGTAATATTTTACATTTTCAACTTTCTTTTTTTCTACCCCCACCCGATTTACGTTCAACACCTCACTACCACATGGTTACTGACTTGAACAACGCTCAATTTCTAGTCATTTATGACACGTCATCCAACTTATTTGCTCAATTTCAGTTCTAATTTAAATGGCATTATTATCTACCCCACTTCTACTTAGTCTCTACCTATAACTACCTCTGTTGCTACCCTGACCTAAGTTGAAACATTTCAGTCAATTATATTACGTTATCTAACTTACCAACTCAATCTTTAGTTGCTGTCTAATTAACCTTGTTTCTACATTAGATCATTCTTTTATTACCTGATCAATTATCTAAACTTGATAAACCTCATGTACGCACACACACACACACAAATAATTATATATAAATGCGATTGTACAGCTCTATGTGAATGAATTCGCCGGCGAAAAGAGTCTCTTCGCTAAACGTCTTCTCTTTTTCATATGACTCAATGAGGATTTTCAAGCTAATCAGATGTTTGTTTAATGAATATATATATACATATATATTATTAATTGGATGGAGGATTTCATCATGAGCTGATATCAGTTAGAGAACCACTGGAAAACCAGCTGGGAGTACTGGGCAGCTGTTTCCCCTGTCCTAGTTTGCGACTCTTCATCAGTACACACCCACACCACAGGGGGTTCAAACCCAGGACCTTCTGGTTACAAAGCGAGCTAGCTCGTAGACCATTCAGCAGTCACTGGGACCCGATTCAATGGCCAACCCATAAAATTCTAACTTCTGTCAATTCACCAAAACAGCTGGATGTCCAGTACTCACTCCCAGCTGGTTTTCAATTGGTTCTCTAACTGATGTTATCCCATGATGAAATCCTTCATCCAATCAAACAAAATCCCTACAAAACCAATACTTGAAAACATACATACATATAATATATGATTAGCAAATCGACTTAGTAGTGAGGATTTTAACTCTACCATAAAATTAATCACAACTAAAAATAGGAAATACAACTATGCATACCAGATAAGCATTGAATGAATCCATTTAGTAAGTAAGACATAGAATATCTATCATCATTTATCATTGTTCCACATCATAGATAAACACGTGTATGTGACTGCTACTCTACTACTGTGTGTGTGTGTGTGTGTACGTGTGTGTATGTGTATGTTGCTATAGTAATAGACCTGTGGGATGAGTATACTCACTTACGAATGTACTCTCCTTCCAGTAAATAATACTAGTAATAATAATGATAAGACAAACTAATACTAATATTACTCATTTAGAAAAAAAATTTGTTCTACTGATTGGATGTCAGAAACTTGCCTATTTTAACTCTTTCTTTTTTCACACACACACACAAAGATTTCTATTTTCATTCTCTAAGCTACTTTTAGTCTAATTTAGAGTATATAGCACGAAGAGCTCAAACATACATATGTATCCCATGTGAGATGTGTAATAATAGACAAATCCTTACCGTTACACTTTTCTCTCCTTACTCTGTTTCTCTCTCTCTCTCTCTCTATATATATATATATATATATATTGTATGCATGAGCTATTTTTAAGTTAGTTTCTGTAAGGAACTAGAGTAAATTAGTAGTAGATGAAGGTGTATTATTAGACTAACGTATGCCTAATTTATGTATATACACACACACACACAGATACTCTACACACACATTGTTAGGCATCCATTTTTATATAGATGAACTGCATAAAACTCAACTATCTTGAAATGATTTATTTTTATGCATTCAGCCTATGGCGGCTTAAACTGTCGTTGTACTGTTGACGATGTCAAAGATAGGATCAGAAAAATAAGAAGAAAAAAGAACAACTTTTGGTTTGTAGGGATTTGGTTGATTGGTTACAGGATTTCATCATGAAGTGACATTGGCGCGAGAGAACCGTTGGAAAACCTGCCAGGGAGTACTGGACAGCCGACTGTTTCTCCTGTCCTAGTTTAGGACTGACTCTTCAGCAGTACGCACCCAGAGGGGGGTTCGAACCCAGGACCATCTGGTTACAAGGCCAGAGAGCTAGCTTGTATACCATTAAGCAGTCACTGGGACCTGATCCAATGGCCAGTGCATGAATTCTAACTTCTGCCAATTCATGATATAGCGCGACCACTAGCTAATGTCATCGGTGGTGAGTATTTGTCCTCACACCCGACCTGCTGCACCCTACTGTGTATTAAACCTAGCCCTCAACTAAAGCCTAACTTCAATATTGCTCACCTTATTATACCACCACTTCACACGGGAGACAGAACGCAGGCACCTATGATTGAAGACAAGTAATATTTTCATGTCTTCCACTCTCAATGGCTAGGTCTCACAACCATAAAGGAAGACGGAGAGGACTACTGAGCAGCACACACGTCCTTTTGGTCACATTGTGACGTTTGACTGGCCAAGTGTTAGCAACTGAGACAGATTAGCCTGTTTTGTCCGTGTTGTTGAAGGTATGCCAGAAGAGATGGCAGTAAGCCACGCCTATAGTGTGAAAGCTAGTGACACTACCACCTGTGTTCTATCCCCGTGTGAGGTGGTATGATAAGGTGAGCAATATTGAGGTTAGGCTTTAGTTGAGTGCTAGGTAAGGAGGGAGGCAAAACCAATAGACGAGGTCGTGAAGCTACATCGTCTGAGATGGTTAAAATATGTGTTACGCATGCTGTGTCATCGCCTCCTCGACTGACGGATAATGTTAGCTGACATAGGGTCAGGTTGGAAAAAAGCTAGCGGCGGTCAATCCACAACATAGCACCAGTCAATGAAATCTACAACAGTCAATTTAAGCCAGCCAGCCACGTAGGAAGGTGTAGACTGGCTTCCTGGTTGGGGTCCTCGGGATGGTAAAAACTAATGGAGGTTGGATGCAATCGGTAATATGGCTCGAAATCTTCGTTGTCAATGGCTGGTGGAGATGCATCCACTCCTTGTGACTTATAATTTTCAATGAAACTATATTGTTTTTCGTTATTACTATTCCTTTTGTCTCAGATCCCTGTCTACTGTCTCTATTATGCATTTCTTCTACTTTCTTCTCTTGCTTTGTGTGGTACATGGAGTGAGTATGGCGACTTGAACTTCTGCACATCGGTGCATAGTTCTATGTCGAAAACAGATAGACAGACAGACACTAACACCTGGCTTCCCAAGTCTCAGTAAATGAAGAGGGTTTCAAACGCGTGACTCATTCTCTGATTGGAAGTTGAGCACTTATACCAATGAACTAAACAGCTCCACAATAATACTCTACCTACTAAAATTCCACGGAATTCAAAGCATAGAACCCAAACAACAGTTAACCATGAATACAGAAGTCCAGTGGAGTTATTTCTTGTCATGACTGTGTATAGCTAGCACACCTGATCGATAAAACATTCAGTCAAGTCAATGGGGTAGAGAGACTAAGAAATCATGAAAATAGCTGCCTACAGTATAAATATTATACAAGTATGCTTCAGTGATTTACAAACACTTACCGATAACTGTTATCATCCACATCATTATAACAGTGAAGATACCAATCCATACACATGACATAAAGAAAGATAACCAATGCGAAGCTGGAATTTGTCTCCATCTAGCTTTGCGTACATCAGGAACAGTTAAGCAGAGAACACAACGTAATGGCCAGAGGAAAAGACAAAAAGCATAGCGGATTTTTCCACGTACACCTTCATGTCCAGGTAATTTCAATGGAGCAAAGCATGTATCATACCAAGATTCAACAGCGTCATCACCTGAACGAATTTGTGTTTCTACATCGTTTAATGCATCGTTGTGTTGTGGTTGTTGACGTTGACCAACCATATTATCAGCGATTGGATTTCCTGTTAAGTAAATTGAAAATTTTAGGAAAAAAAAATATTCATCAAAAAGTATAGTGTGGCAAGTGCTACTAATATGATTTATCAGTAGTATATAAAGAGACATTCATCAGCATAACAAACATCAACTAGCAAAGAGATACACATTTGATGTCAGAGAAGGCGAATAATACAGCGTTGTGGAGAAAAAGATACATGGGAGACAACGTGAAAGGAACACACACACACTAACTATATGAAGGCTAGAAGTACCACAACACGAAGATCTGTGCAAATTGTGCATTTAAGATAAGGCCTCCGACAGCGTAGACCAGACCAAGAAGTAATTTAGAAACTACTTCAACTCTACGGTATGCAGTGCCTAAGTCTTTATCAACCTCATTCAACAGCTGTCTGGCTATATGACAATGTCACGTGTCAGGTGATCCACAACGGGGAACTCAGAGAAGCATTCGAAGTGCATACAGGAGTAAGACAAAGCTGTCTGCCTATTATCATCGATGATATTCTTAATTACGGTGGACTGGATTATGCGTGAGACTATGGGGAGCGAGGAGACAAGAGTACGCTGGATCACAGATAAGGAGACTCCATCTAGAAGATCTGGATTCCGCTCGTGGATGACATATGTCTAATGTCACACAAACTTGAAGACTAGCAGGCGAAAACCGACAAGCTGACTAAAGAGGCAGCAAAAACACGACTGCAGGTGAACATAGAGAAGACAGAGGTGATGAAGACAACCAACCAGTCAATCAACAGCAACACCAACCAGCACTAATTACCATCAACAGGAGAGATTTGACAGAGGTTGCCTCCTTCACTTATCTGGGAAGCATCGTTTCAACTACAGGCAGTTGGAACGGACGAAGATGTCAAAACCCACCAGGTAGAATTGGAAAGGCAAGATACACACGCTTTCATCAACCTGAAACCAGTTTGGAAATCTTCCGCACTGATTCAGCATAAGGAACAAGATTTGCATTTTTAACACCAATATGAAGTCAATCAGTCAGTCAGTCCTACTACACGGGTCAGAAACTTGCACCGTGTTTGAGTCACGAAAAGGATTTCCAACAGCCTGTTGGAGATTTTCATCAACAGCTGACCACTTCACTCGCTGGCTGGCTCCATACTGAAGATCAAATGGATGGGGTGGCGTGAAAGGATTAGCAAGAAGAAAATTTGGCTGGGAACAAACTACTGGGCGAGAGCCGATCGCTCAACAAATATGTAGGATAAAATGGAGATGGACCGGGTATACAACACACTGAGGAGGTCGCCGAATGACATCGCACGCAATGCAGGCCATCGTTCGAGTGGGTCGTCGTCAGTGCGAGGGTGACATGGAGGAGATCGTGTGAGGAAGCGATGAGAGAGTTTGGTCAATCGTGGAGCTAGCCAGCTGAAGAGGACGGCAGAAAACAGAATGAACAAGGAGATGTGTTGTTGACGCCCTATGTCACACTCGGAACTCAAGGGAATAATAATAACAATAATGATACATAATCTTGGTATATAGAGATACTAAGTCTTTCGTCTTCCGCCATTTCAATAGTACGCACATACACATTTTGAGCCATTTCAGTGTGTGTTTAAAAATCCACTTACTTCTGTGAAGCTGTCTGTCTGTCTGTTTTCGACATAGAACTTTGCACAAATGTGCACCAGTTCAAGTCGCCACATTCCGTGTAGCACGCGAAGCAAGAGAAGAAAGTACAAGAAAAGCATAATAGAGACAGTAAGCAGAGGTGTGAGACAAAGGAGTAATAACGAAGAACAAAACAGTTTCATTGAAGATCATAAGTCACAGGGAGTGGGTGCATCTGCGCCACTGAGAACGGTTTTGAGCCATGTCACCAATTGTTTCCAACCATAGATTTTTACCGTCCCGAGGACCCCAGCCTGGAAGTCTACACCTTCCTACGTGGCTTAGACCAACTGTTGTGGATTTCATTGACTGATGCCAAGTTTTTGTTTGACCGCCGCTAGCTTTTTTCCAGCCTGACCCTATATCCGCTAACATTGCTCGTCGAGGGAGGCGATGGCTTGGCATACGTAACACATGTCCTAACCATCTCAGTCTTTGTAGCTTCAGGACTTCGTCGATTGATTTCCCCTGTTTACCTAGAACTCTACGCCTAACCTCCATGTTGCTCACCTTATAATGCCACTTTACACGGGAAATAGAGCGCAGGCACCTATGATCAAAGACAGCTAGTCTTTTCATGTCTTCCACTCTCAGTGACCAGGTCTCACAGCCAACCATAAAGGAGGACGGAGCGGACTGATGAGCAGTACACCCGCCCTTTGGTCGATAGTCGAACATCTCGTCTACGCCAGAGTCGGCGTAGCTAAGCATGTTCGCCGCACAAACTGCACACTTTCCAAACGCATATCTATGCGAGATTATTACTAGGTCAATTCTCCTCGAGAACTTAATGAATTCAAACCACACAATTTCATCAGAGTCGTCTTTTAGTATTATCTACAAGGTGAGACTGTATAATATAAGAGGGTTGTTAGGTTTCCACGTTTGTGTATGACAAAGATGCTGGCGACTTGTCCATACTTGTTTTTATAGTAAAATAGGTGTCAAGGTTAACAAGAAAACAGTTGTTTTTCGCAGAGATGAGACCCTGAGACATAAAACACAAAAGAATACTTAAGGTTTTTTCTTGATTTTTAAAGAAAAATTAACCAATAAACACTCATTTGACTGACTAATACTCGTTATTTATAATTTTTTTAAAGGCTGTTTCGATATCACTTTTATGACTTTTTCAATATATGAACTAAGTATTTCGACTTTAAATGAAGTTTGGTGGTCTGTTATAATCTGCATTTACCGAAGTTTCACAGTTCACTTATTTCAATTTCAAGCCATTTGAGCATATATACGTTCGCCTGGTGTGTGTGTGTTGGTAGTTCAGTGGTAGGGCGCTGGTCGGCTATTCATGTGGGCCGGGGTTCGAGTCCCGACCGGCACACTCCTTTACCTGTCCTAGCTAGATAAGGAGGGAAGGTTGGGCGTGAGGCTAGCTCTACTCCACCCCATAAAGATAAACACCACTGCTACTGAAACTTCAAAGCTTAAGAGCTTGAAGCCCCATGTCCCACTGGGAACGTTAAGAACTGATAAAAAAACGTTCACCTGCCCTCAGGTGCAAAGAGCATTTATTCGCGCCTATGTATGTGTGACCAAATTTGAGCATTGTTCAAATGTATGATGAACTAAGTTTTCAGCTTTTTCCATATTTACATGACACACTGCATATAAGGTTCTACGAATGATCCAGTTTAGCCTCTGTTTTAAAATCCCACTGCTTATTTCCTCATTATTGATTCTTTGAGACACAACAGACTGTAGGCTTTGAAATTAACTGACCCTCTTCTACAGCAGTTCAAAGACTTCAAAGAATATCAGCCTTCAACAAGTATATAGTGAGGCGATACTTTATTTACTAGGAGATGAAACTTCCAGAAAGAAAGAAAAGACATCGGAGATAGGAGAAAAAAAAAGACTGTAATACTGTTGTTGTATGTTTGGTTCAGCTGTAGAATACCTGAAAACCACGCAAGTCTTCCAGGCCCGATTTTGCAGCTGATTCACTCCTAAACCTAGCTCAGTTGACTAACTAATAGTAAGGACGAGATAAAGGGAAGGCTGTAGGGTGTGAGACTAGCTATCCTACCCAGTAAAAGCAACACCATAGAGACTAAAACATCTAGGTTTGACGCTTGAAGCCCTACATCTCACTCAAAAAGCAAGGAATGGAGAAAATATTACACAGTTAAAAGGATACAACTATACTGACTATTGATTAACTTCAAGACATACTCTACCGAATGCTCAACTATTGATTTAGATTGTCTAGTGTGCATCTGAGTATATGGCAGTCTGTATAGCTCAAACTAAAAACCAAACAACACTCAAAAGCCTTACTTTGCTCACTTCACACTTTCTTAAAAAGAAAGTAATTCTAGTTCATTTAGCAAAGCATTTAATAAAGGCGATCGCTTATTAGCGACGAATCACTCTATAATTATTCATATGGGTATCTTCTGTTAAAATTACATATCCTGGAATAGTTCGCAGATACACACAAAATGTTTAAAAACCAGGATGTTACATATTACACACATCATCAACAGCTGTCTTCGCTCAATACTACTCAAGATCAGATAGCCGGCCAGAAAAGATCAGCAACTGGGATCTCTGGAAACGGACCAACCCGGAAGCAACTGTGCAACAAATATGCAGGAAGAAATGGAGGTAGGTAGATTGGAGGCCATACTCTGAGAAGACAAACCACCATCAAGTGAGTGACATCGCACGCCAGGCCATTGCTCGAGTGGAACCCGAAAGGGAAGCGGTGAGTTGGTCGTCAGTGCGAGGGTGACATGGCGTGGAGGAGGTCATGTGAAGAGGAGATGAAAGTATGTGGGTAGACGTGGAGCTAGGTGGTGAAAACGTTGGCAGAGAACCGAACACAATTGAGACGCTGGCGGCTGAAGCCTTATGTTCTTCTAGGAACTAAAGGAAACAATAATAATACTAATAATACATATCACACAAATGCGCACACACAAACGCACACTTTCTAAATTTCTCAGCTGACTGTCAACTGAATACAGGTTATGAGTCGGTGGTTGAGTGGTAGGATACTCGCCAACCAGGCTGCAAGTGGTCTGGGACTTGACTCCCTGCTTAGCCGATATCAAGTCCGGTACAGAGAGAAGATTGAGTGTAAGCCTAACGATTTCACTACCACTGAAACCTCAAACCTCGGGCTTAAAGCCGTTATATTCGACTTGAAACATAAAGAATTCAAACAAAAATGAATCCAGGATAAACAGAATGTTCTCAAGACATGCATTTACACGGCAAAAGTAAACTAACCTGTCTTCTCCGTGAAGTAGTCATCTTCTTCTTCCTCAAAACGTTTATAACTAGCATGAACACTTTTCACCTGAGTCACTTCATGATCAATGATGACAACATTTGATGGTGTTAATGACTTATTATCAATTGCCATTGAAGCATGTCCAAATGCACCAGTATGCTGTTGAATTAAATCGTGTTCTTCTTGATCAGTGTGTATTGCACGTGGACAACAAGTTGGATGTTCACGACACCATACACGCCAAAATGCATCAACCCGTGGATTGTAGTACATTAATAACACATATAAACAGTAAACTATAATAAGTACTGTTGATTCGTACCTTAAAGATGTTTGAATGAAGAAAAACAATTGGACGTTAATCATTATTCATATAAAAGAGACTATGTTATATACATTAAGTACAGACACATACGGTTGACTGCATACAGAATATCGCTCATTTTGACTGGACACTAGTAACTAGTGTGACGTGTTTAATCCTTCTTTTTTTTGTGCAGACTGAATTCTATCAGTCAGTCAGGTTTGCAATGTGGCCACTAGGCCACTAGATAGCTCGCCAACACGGTGCACATTGATTTGATGATATAATAATAATAATGATTTACTTTATTCCAAAAACAGTACTTGTGATACAGAATGGAATTTTCAGCATTAATCACAATATTGCATCTAATTTCCTCAAATTATAAATAAAATTAATCACACAGAAAATTTTCCACATTTACAATAGAGGTAGTGTCAAAAACATGCAGCATATAAAATGGAAATAACAATAATAATGATAACAGCTAGGGTAATAATAATAAGAATACAAGTGAAAATTGCCGTTGGCTTGTGTCACACAGTATTGGCAATGTGGTATAGAAATCCTAACATGTTTAAAAATATTGAATATAACGTTCTCTTTACATGATATAGTGAGGGGAAAAACAAAGATTACAGCCGTCATGGAGATAAGTTGGTGTTTGCAATTATGAGAGTAAAACAGAGAAGTAACAGGACCATAAATATAATAGAAGTAATAAAAGTAAAACTTGAAGGTATATAAGGATGGATGGAGGAAATTGTTTATTTACTAGATGAAAAAAGGTTAGTTAATTCTTGCCTGACACTATTTTCATCACATAAAATACGTGCCAAGTATGGTATCATAGAATTCTTATACTTAGACGTGCGAGCATACAGTTTTCTGAAGTTACTCTTTGTTCTACCTGAGGAGATGCTAGGTGAAAGCTGAGGGTAAAGCGGATGCTCCAAGTCAGACAAAATCCCTTTAGCAAATTTATTGCATGAAGTCAAGTGCCTATCGACAACGACGTTAACTATGTGGTCCACTGGGACACCACTCACCCTACTGACAGTCTTCAGTATTCTACGAATTGTGACATAGTCCTTTTTAAGCAAACCAGGAAAGAATAAGGGTGAGCAATAAAGAAGAATAGGTAGGATGCAAGAGTTTATGAACTGTAAGAGGAGGGGTTGAGTTATACCCGAGTGTCTTAACTTCTTAATGTAAAATGTCAGGTGGAATATTTTACTGGAGATCGCTAAGACATGAGAAGACCAGGAGAGATCAGAAGAGAGAATGAGTCCAAGATACTTAATTTCTGATTTGATTCCTATATCATTGTCGTCAATTTTACAACTGTCATGAGAATCGATGACTTCTTTTAACTGTCGTTTACATCTTAAGCTGAAATCAACAGTTTGACACTTAGAAGGATTCAGTTTAAGACCGTTAGACTCAGACCATTTGCTGACCGCAGGAAGCCTTGCCTGACCTAGGTTTCGTGCTAATTGGCACTCAACAGTCAGTCAGTAAGGCGGCGTATCTGCAACCTTGAAGAAACTCATATCCTTTCTGAGATTCGAACCCGCTAAATTACTTTAAATACACTGGGTGAGTGTATTTCATTCAATTTTGAACTTTCCCATTGATTGAATAGACTGAAGTGCTCAGGCTCAGGTACATCCGGTTGATGAGTTTCATATAGGACGAAACGCGCATCCTGGATTTCACTGCTAATCATCATCCAGAAATTTACGCAGGGTAAATATTTGAATAGTTTAATAACATCCCTTTTACCTACAGACAATCGAACATAAGTTTGGAAATTTTGAATTTGTTATTGGAAATGTTAATTTTTCATGTCAGTCAGTCGTCTCCTTCAACCCACCCACGCACCCATCTCACTATTTGATGAAATTTCTTTTTATATACTTTTCTTTTCTTATTGCTTACCTTTAGTTAGTGTGTTTGTATACATGTGTAGCCATTATTTGTTACTATTTTTTTTTGGAAACAGTCTAACTTGGATGAATTTTCTTATTTTGCTTTATTCATTTTGTGCCTCAAGTGGAACATGACACTTCGAGTCTTGACGTTGCAGTACCAGTGGTGTTTTACAGGGTGGGGTTGTTAACCTCATACCCTACAATCTTCCTTCTTTATCGGGTATACTAGAGGATAAGCGATGTTTAGGAGTGAGTCAACCGGGTGTCGAGCTGCGGACCACTTCAGGCGTGGTTGACAAACATTCTACAACTAAGTGACTGACGCACACATAGATAAACTGCTAAAAATGTACCTTTGACAATCCTTTGTAAACTGGAGACGTTCCACAGAAGATAGTTTTACTTCTTTCTTGTTTGAACCCTATCACCCCACCATCATTCATCATGTATTAGACTAAGAGCTACACTTATCTTGCGAGTGCTGATAATTCTATCCAGTTGCCCAGGCTGAAGTATGTGGTGTAGGACTCGAACTCATGACCCACTGGTTGAAAATTGGGCTCTTAAGTGGATATGACGCATCTCCATGGCTTTATCACTAAATTAATAATTTCACTTCAATACAATGTTACAGGATTTCATCATGAGCTGACATCAGTTAGAGGACTATTGGAAAACCTGCAGGGAGTACTGGACAGGCAGCTGTTTCGTCCTATTTTGGGACTCTTCGACAATACGCGCCCACCAGGATTCGAAACAAGGACCTTCTGATTACAAGGCGAGCTCGTATACCATTAAGCCACTGGAACCCGATCTAATGGCCCATGAATTCTAACTTCTGTCAATTCACGAAATAGCGCGACCCCAAGCCAGTGGATTAATGGTATACGAGCTCACCTTGTAATCAGAAGGTCCTCGGTTCGAATCCCGATGGGTGCATACTGCTGAAGAGTCCCAAACTAGGACGAAACAGCTGTCCAGTACTTCCAGGTTTTCCAATGGTTCTCTAACCGACACAGCCCATGATGAAATCCTGTAACCAATCAAATTCCTACAAACAAACACTTGAATATTAATACTATGTACAAAAAATAAATATCAATGCGTGATAATACTGTCTTGAGACTATTGTGAATCGTCGAATCCCGCTCTTGTCACTACCGCCAACTATCTGAGATGCTAACAGATTATCAAAAGGAGTTCAATCAATTGACCGGAGAGGGATTTTTCACAAACAGAGTATGTCCAAACAAAACAGCTGCTGCTCATCAGAGTTGTTGGTATTTAATGGTTGATTGGGTGGTAGACACAACATTTATGAAGTAAAATACGAATATCTCTCTGTTGTATAACAATTTCACAAAATTCAAAGCTTTTTAGAGAGCTTATGAAGTATTCTCAGTTAGAGATGTAATTTTATTATAGTGTCATTTTCAAATCATTAGTATATTCGAATCACAGTAATAGGAATCAGCTGACTGTCTGTCTGCCTGTCTGTTTTCAACATAGAACATTGCACTGATGTGCAGCAGTACAAGTCGCCAAACTCCCTCCTTGTAGCACACAAAGCAAGTGAAAAAAGTAGAAGAAATGCAACATAAAGACAGTAAACAGGGATATGAGACAAAAAGATTCGTAACAACGAAGAACAATATGGTTTCATTGGGTATTATAAGTCACAAGGAGTGGATGCATCTAACTCCGCCAGCCATTGAGAACGATTTTGAGCCACATCACCGATTGTATCCAGCCTTCATTGGTTTTTGCCGTCCGTAGGACCCCAACCAGCCAGGAAGTCTACACCTTCCTACGTGGCTGGCTGGCTGGCTTAAACTAACTGTTGTGGATTTCATTGACTAATGCGGCCTTGTTTCGGTTTGACTACCACTAGCAGCTCTTTTCCAGTCTAACCCTATGTCAGCTAACGTTGCCCATCAGTCAAGGAAGGCAATGACAAGGCATACGTAACACATTTCTTAACCATCTCAAAAAACAGCAAAAGTATTAGAATACGCACAACTTGAGCCCTAAAACCTTCACCAGTATATCACTTAAATAGTGGAGTAAATTAAGCTAAACAGAAAGATGAAAATAAAATCATGAAATCAAGGATTGATATCAGTTCAGGGGTATAATGAACAGCCGTTTCGCCCTAGAGCGAGACTCTTCATCAGTGCACATCCGCGATCCCACCATGGATAGAACCCGGTACCTGCAGGTCATAACACCAAGCTCGTCCGCCAGAATTTAATAACCCGTGAATTATAACTCGTATCACTTCGCAATCTTATGCGCCTATGCCAACCCATGTCATAGGCGGGTTAGTCCTCACGACTCAGCGAGGCGTTTGGAATAAACACAGGAGTCAGACAAGGGTGCTTATTATCACCAACGATATTCCTAATTGTGGTCGACTGGATTATGCTTTAGACAGTGAGAAATGAGAAGACAAGGATATCCTAGACTGACGTGAAGAGCCTAGAAGACCTGGATTTCGCGCGTGGATGGTTTATGTTTGATGTCACACAAAATCGAAGAATTATAAGCGAAAACCGACAAACTGGTCAAAGAAGCAGCCGGCGAAGACAGGACTCCAGGTGAACATAGACAAGACGAAGGTTATGTAAATAACTAACCAACCAACCAACAACAACAACAAAAGCAGAAACATCCAGCGCCAATCACTATCAACAACGGGAGGAATTTGAGAGAGGTCACTTCATTCACTCATCATCTAGGGAGCATTGTCTCAACTACAGACAGTCGGAACGGACGAGGATGTCAAATCGAGCGAGAATCGGGAAGGCGAGCGAAACACATTCATCAACCAACTAAAACCAATCTGGAAATCTTCATCACTCAACTCATCATCAACAACAAAATTCGGTCGGATTTTCAATACAAATAACGTGAAGTCAGTTAGTTCTTCTATACGGATGGAACAGAAACTTGGCGGGCGGGTCACAAAGAATATTTCCAACAGCCTGTTGCAGACCAGACCTTTATCAACCAACAACTGTCTTCGCTGGATCTATACTGAAGATGAATCAGATGGCCGGGCCGGAAAGAATCATCAACAAGAAA